AGGAGGAGGAAGAGGAGGAGGAGGAAGAGGAGGAGGAGGAGAATGAGGAGGAATATCCAGGTGCGGCCGAGGTCGAGCAGCAATGGCGACACCAATGGACTCAGTCAAGGTGTCGCACTGGAGAGAGGGACGACCAAGAAAGGAAGGGGTCCGGAGAGAACGAGAGACCGGAAAAAAAAGAAGTGAGACGGCTCGAGCACATCCATCCACCCACACGTAGTCCAGGAGAGAAGGAGGAGGAGGAGGAGGAGGAGGAGGAGGAGGAGGAGGAGGAGGAGGAGGAGGAGGAGGGAGGAGTAGCAGGAGCAGGGGGAGGAGCAGGAGGAGCAGGAGGAGGAGGAGGAGGAGCGGCCAGGAGGGAAGGCGGAGCGAGCGAGAGAGGTGCGAGCGAGTGAGCGGGAGCGAGTGGACGAGCGAGTGGGCTAGCAAGCGAGGAGAACAAAAGAAACATTAATCCTGTCCAGAGAACACGACGAAGACGTGGCCTCATTTAGGTCCCCGTCTTCGCATTAGGGACGATAGATCTGGGCGGTTGGGTCTGACACACCTGCAGAAAAGACCCCCTATCTCTAATGTATCTGGTCCTCCTAGCTTAGGTCCCTTCGCGAAGGGTTAGGAGTGCTTTCGTTGCTGGGCACCTGAGATCCGGCGTTGCGAGACAAATGGCGCCGCGCAAAGCCACAACAGCCCCAAGACCCCGGCTTCCTGCTGCCGCTTTCGGGCCGGATCGAGCTGTGAGGATCCACGAGGGCCCAGCGGGCCCAGCGAGAGCGCCCAGCGCGAGGAAGTGCAGCGCCCGGGTGTCGGTGGAGGACGCCGCGCTGGCCGCAGCCTGTTTGGGCTCCTCTGGCGGCCTCCGGCGGCCGCGGCAGCCCGGCGCGCGGCGGCGGCCGCCGCCCGCTGCATGTCTCACCGCCACCCACAGCGCGCTGGCCCGTCGGCTTGCCGCTCACGGCCCCGTCGGGTCCCGCCGGCGTCGTCGTTGGCTTCGTCGGCAGCGGCGTTGGCGGCGCCGGCGCCGACGCCAGGAGGATAGGGGAGGAGGAGAAGGAGGAGGAGGAGGAGGAGGAGGAGGAGGAGGAGGAGGAGGACGGGAATGAGGAGGAGGAGGAGGAGGTGGAGGAGGAGGAGGAGGAGGAGGAGGAGGTTGAGGAGATAGGAGGAGGAGGAGGAGGAGGAGGAGGAGGAGGAGGAGGAGGAAGGGAGGGAGGGATTGAGGGAGGGGAGGGAGTGAGGGAGGGAGGGGTAGGAGGGGGGGGGGGAGGCGGAGGAGAGGGGGAGGAGAAGCAGGAGGAGGATGAGGAGGATGATGAGGTCTAGCCAAAATGGACGAGGAGGGGAGGGGGGACGGGGAGGCAGAGGTCGGGGGAGCGTAAGACCCGGGGTTTGCCAGGACTCGGGTTCGCCATCGTTTTTTGACGACCGCGCCTCGGATTTTGACGAGGAGGAGTTTCGTGGGATGTCTGCAGCGGGAGGCCTCGTCAAAATGCAGGCTCGGCCTCGTCAATTTTTTGACGACCTCGTCGGGGATTTCCGAGTCCCCTGTACCCAGGTCTTACGTCCCCCTGAAGAGGGGAAAGAAATAGATTTCGAAGAATTTCCGCAGGATGCTTGGAAGTCTCCGAAACCCAGGTGGGGTTCTTTCGGTTGCCCCTTTTTCGAGAGACCTCCGGGAAGGCCCAGGGTCGTGCCGAAAGGTTGCCTGGGGACCCACGTCATGGCACAATGAAAGGCCAGCTTGAGGCATCGAAAGGATGATGATGATGATGATGATGATGATGATGATGATGATGATGATGATGATGATGATGATGATGCTGATGCTGATGCTGATGCTGATGCTGATGCTGATGCTGATGCTGATGCTGATGATGATGATGGTGATGGTGATGGTGATGGTGATGGTGATGGTGATGATGATGATGATGATGGTGGTGATGATCATGGTGATGATGATGATGCTGACGATGATGATGATGACGCTGATGCTGATGCTGATGCTGATGCTGATGCTGATGCTGATGCTGCTGATGATGATGATGATGACGATGCTGATGCTGCTGATGATGATGACGATGGTGATGATGCTGATGATGCTGCTGCTGATGATGATGATGATGGTGATGGTAATGGTGGTGATGATGATGATGATAATGATGATGATGATGATGATGACGGTGCTGTTGATGACGACGCTGATGATGACGATGATGATGATGATGATGATGATGATGATGATGATGATGCTGATGATGCTGATGATGTTGCTGATGAGCATGCTGAGCATGATGAGCATGATGAACATGATGAACGGAATGATGATGTTGATGATGATGATGATGTTGTTGATGATGGTGGTGTGGTGACGATAGTGTTGATGATGACGATGGTCATCATCATGAGGAAGATGAGGGTCATGAGCAGGATGAGGTTGGGGGGTGTCGTTTGTGGTTTGGTGGGGGTCTCAAGGGCACCTGGTCGGTACGGCTGGATCCGCCTCGAGATCCGAGTCCGAACGCGCTCCAAGTCCGAGGAGTGGAGGGCACACTTCCTTCCTCCTCCTCGTCCTCCTCTTCCAGCCCTCGTCAGTCTGGCCGAAGGTGGTTGGAGGCGGCCAGCAGGGATTCAGGTTCCCCCTGGTTTGGGTCCGGGGGTGCGGCACGCAAACCAGGGCAGAATAAGCTCTATAAGGCATGCAGAAGCTAATCTTGTTTTCAAGGCTGGGCAAAGTGGTCGATCCAATGGGGCGACGAGACGACGGTGCAATCGTTTGTCGCGTGATCGAATTACACCAACTATTGCGCGCACCTGTTGCGAATTATTGCGCTGGTGGAATCAGCGATTGCATCGGCCAAATCCATACAGACACAACTGCTACTTTTCGGCGCTCCAGCAAGTCCGAATTCATTATGGTATTGCAACTCGAGGATGAACAATTGCATCACAGACGCACTCTTGCACTCGCGCGCACGAACTATTACTTCCCAGCCCGTGCACTGGCTAGTGGATGATGAGCGTATGTATGTTTATGTGTACGTGTGTGCGCTTTGAGCTGTTGTAAACACTATTGCGCACACGCTTGTCGGAAACAGGAGCATCTACATGACCAGTAGCGGGCTGTCTTTAAATCGCAGGACTTTGAGGGTTGGGGACGACGTCGTGGTGGCGTGGTGTATACTTTTTCCCCCGCTTTCCTGGGGAAGTATCAAGACAATCTACACCAGGATCCTGTATACACCAGGATCCGCTTTCCTGTGCAACAGCGCAGGGCCGGACAAAAAGCGTCGGTGTAAGTATATAGAGTTTGTTTCCTCAGTCCGTGGCCCGCTCTGCAGAGCACCCATCGCCCGCCTTTGACTACCCGCTCCAGGATAAGCCTGGGGGGCGGTTTCTGCAGAGGGCCCAGGCCTCCGGCCTCGTGGACCGTCGGCCTGGCGACGGGCATAGCCATGTGCAGCTGCGTGCGGCGCAGGACTTGGCCCTCCCCGCCTGCACTGCGCGCGCCGCGGTGCCGTGCGGATAGGGGGCCACGGAGCAGGCGCACAGCAGCGCGCCGAGTCCTCTGCCGCGACCCGCGCGGGGGGCGTGCCGAGGCGAGCGGCTGCCTGCACACGAGCGCGCCGCAGGTGGATCTCCACGTGAGGCCACGATCCGAGTGAGGGGCGCGCCGAAACGGGCGGGGGACCGCACGCGAGCGCGCGCCCACCGAGACCGTCTGTCGTCCTTCTCCGTGACGCTGGTCTGGCCAGCCAGAGCGGGAAGGAGGCGGGCCGGGCTCCGCAGAGGACGAGGGCTCTCCACATCCACCAGCTGCCGCCTGCCTTCCGCCGTGGCCCCCGCCAGAGGCTGGCCGAAGGCCCTCGGAGGAGCGCCCCCCTCCGTTGCGGCTGCCTCTCTTGGAGAGCCGCCGGCTCTCTGGCCTCTGCCGCCCAGCGGGGGCTCAGCGCCACAAGGGCTGGGGGATTGCCGGGCAGCGGGGTGCTTCGGCGGCGCGCGGGCGGGGGGCGGGAGAGTGGCACGAGGGCAGCGCCGCTGTCGCGCGGGCCTGGCGCAGGAGCGCGGCAGCAGGGCGGCAGCCTCCTGCATTCAGAGGGGCAGCAGGTCACGGGTACCAGTGATGCGGCCCGGGACTTCCAGGTCCTCCAGCTGCCCCGCGCGGGCTCCAGAGAAGGAGGGCCCCCAGACATTGCGGGCGTCTTAGACATTCTGGGCCACGTGTCTCGAGCAAATCGAGCCATGGCATCGTGCTGGTCCTATGCCTGAGTCCAGTTCCCCTTAGATCCGACGTTTTGAAAACAGAGGATACCTCGCGAAAAAGCACGACTGGGGCCCTAGTCCCCATCTCCCTGCGGGATCCGTGAAGCCAGATCGATGTGTGAGGCTCCCGGGGCCCGGAGCCGGGAGCAGACGCCCAGCGCATAAGAACATCGCGACGCCAGGATCTCAGGGTCCGCGCCTGCTGGGTACCCGACAGGGTGGCGTCGGAGGATCGGGAATCGGCGACCACAAAAGGGTGTGGTTACGCCGGGGCGTGGTGTGCGATCTGCGTCGTCGGGGCTTGGGGAGCACCACGCTGCCCTCGTCGGGCCTCCTCGGAGCGCGACGGAGACCTCCGTCGAGGTCCTCGCCCGCCACTGGACCCACGGTGCGGGTCGCAAGCTGCACCCCTCGTACAGTGGAGACTCGTGCCAAGAATCACCCTGCTTGCACCCAGGGTGCCCGGGGCTTCCTGGGTTTCGATGGTCTCTCGCTGGAAAAAGCGCGACGCTCCCACGCCGCAACCCCATGGGCGTCCTGGGCGTCTCGGGGCCGGGCTGCCTGTGGGCCGGCCTCCGCTGCAGGCCACACCCCGCGGAGTCGCCGCGCGGCGGGCGGACCGCCCAGGGTCGGCAGCGGGGCCTCCCCTCCCCCCCCCCCCCGAGGTCGACCCCGAGGTCGCCGGGCCCCGCGGGCCTCCCCGCCCGCCCGCGCTGCGGGGCGTGCGGGCGGCCGTGTGAGCCATGGGCCCGCCGATGATGTCGCGCGGCATCTCCATGGCCGCCATGGGCCACGAGGCGGGGCGGGGGCAGGAACGGCGGGCCGCCCCCTGGGGTCGTGGCCTCGCGTCCTTTCCGCAGCTGGGCGACGGTTCGGGCCCCGCTTGGAGGCCCCGAGGCTTCCATGCTTGAAGTTGCATTGGCGTCGCCATGCCATCTCGCGTAGAGCGCCGGACCGAGGCATAGGATCGAGGTCGGCTCGGGGAGGGCACCCTATAGTGTTCTTCGTGCTCGTTGGCTGTTCCTGTGCATCCTTGGGCGGGCATCCGCGAGTGTTCTTCGGCCTGGGCCAGCGGAGGGCCTCGTGTTCTTCAGGGATGTCCTTCTGGCCGAGGTCCGACTGTAAGGTAAGACCTCTCAGTTCTCGTCTCTTTAGATCCGGCCGTCGGGGGGCCCATCATCGCCGCCACGCCACGCCCGGGCGCGGCCGAGAGAGCACGGGGGCCGGGGACTGGTGCCCGGGAGGGGCCGGGGGCCAGTGTTGGGCGCGCAGACGGCAGTTGCCTATAGGCCTCCCAGGTGGGGTCCGAGCAGATGGGGTCGGAGGATCGCGCCGCGGCTCGATGTGGAGCCCGATGATCTCCAAGCTGGCGTCGCCGATGCATCGCCGACGTCGCCGATGCATCACCGATGCGTCGGCGTTGCATCGCTGATGCGGCGTGATCCTCCGACCCCCTCTACCTGGACCCCATCCAGGAGTCCTCTAGTTGGGCACGCAGACGGCAACGGGGAAGCAATCAACGGCAGCAACGAATCTCGGCAAGGACAGGAACAACTCGACCAGGCTGAATCCGGTCAGGTGACTTCGGCCATATTGAATTCGGCCGAGCTCAGCCTGATCGAGACTTCCCCTTGTCAGCGGAGGGGCAATCAGCGTGGAGAGTGTCGAGGATTATAGGATAGTCGCCTCAAAGGGGCCCTAGGCGGCCACCGCGGGCCCTGCGGGCCCTGTAGGTGGGCGTCTGGCGCACGTTCCCTCACCCGCTGCTCATTACCCCCCCCCGTTAGCGAGCACCCGATTTGAGCGTGCGTGGTCAGTCACGAGGCGAGACTGAAGATGCACGACGTGCTTTCGGTGCTCGACGACCTCCTCGCAGACAGCGAGGTTGGTCTCTGCATTGAGATTCTCAGTGCCCTCCGCGACTGGCAGAGCATGTGGGACACGCCCGTCGATGCCAACCCCGCCGACTTCCGCCAGATGCTGGAAGAGGCGGGGCTGATGAAGCAAGGACGCTCGGGGCTCTCCAGAAGTCGTGGGCGGACAACATATCCATGCCTACGGCGTCGCGGTGAGACGCGACCCTTTGGTGACGGGGTGTTCTTTCCGCGGATGCCCCGCGCGGAACGTATCCGTGCCACCGCGTATCTACGAGACTGCGGCCAGGAATCCATACCGCGAGGGCGTGGATGTGGATAGAAGTTCGCCGCCCGTGAACAAAAAACGCGGCACCAGAAGCGAGCGGCCACGCACGGCTCAAGGGATGCATGCGGGAGGGGCATCCGCCCGGGGCAGGGAGTTGCTGAACAGGCAGCTTAGAAGTCTCTGGGCAGCCCTGGTTCCCAGGCCTCCCACTGGGGTCCGAGTCGGCGGGGTCGGTGGATCGCCGCGCACCGCCAGCATCGGCGATGCGGTTCGCGCCGACGTCGCCGATGCATCATCGCCGATGTCGCTGATGCATCGCCGATGCGACGCGACCCTTCAGACCCACCCGCTCGGACCCCGTCTGGGATGCCTCTAAAGAAAAGTGGCGTGGGAGGCGCGGGGGCCACGCCTCGGAGGGGTCGAGGAGCTGGCTCCTCCTCCCCCACCTGTCAGAGTCGGGCGCAACCACAAAGGGGTGCTCGGCTGCCTCGGTACGCTCGTTCTGCTACCTCAGCACATGCCGGGCTCCAAGCGTCCGCGTCAGTAGGTGGCGTGTTGGCTCAGCGTCTTGGCCCGCGCCTTGGCGAGCGTACCGCGTCAGACCTACGGTTTTAGCCGACGTGCTGAGCTCCGTATCAATATGCTACGTAATGCGTGTCGCGCATCGGGGCAGCCAGCCAAGGGGGGATGCCTCGGCCCCGGATCGCCCATGGATCGCCGAGAGGGGTCCGATAGCCCCACCCCGGCCGGGAGTGTCCGGCTTTGCCATCGGGGGGGGGGATCGCCGGTCGATCCGCGATGCATCGCCGATTCCAGGTCGCCCTACCTCAAGCAGTGGCGAAGCATCCTGGCTCGCCTATAGCCCTACCAAACAATATTCTAAGAACCTCTTGCGGTTTCCACAAAATGTTCTCAGAACATTTCTGGTTGAGATTGTCTTGATTTAACACATCGGGCTTATGTTCTAAGAATGTGGTTTTTGTTCTTAGAACATTTTTGGTTTCTAAGAACACTTCGTGGTAGGACCATAGGAATGCCGGGACGGTCGGCCCCTGCTCAACTACCGTTGCATCTCACGGATGCCGGCGGAAGGCAGACGGCAGCAGCCCAGGGGCAGGTCCACCAGCGGAGCCAAAGTTGCCCCCCCCCCCCCCAGAGAGGGGCCCCGGCGGCGAGCCAGGGCTGGAAGCGAGAAGGGGCGGGCTTCTTCAGAAGGTTCGCGAGGCCATGGGCCCTCTGAGAAGTTCTACGTTTCCTGAACCCTCTCCGAAGGCACGAGCGGCTTCTCAGAAGACCAGAGGGCTTCTGAGAAGCCCCGCCGGCTTCTGGGACGCCCTACCGCCTCTGAGAAGGCCTGCTCTCTCTCTCACCTCCCCTTCGGGAGCGCCGCCGATTCAGTCTTCGGAGCGGTCCGCGTGGATACAGCCATCCCCCCGGCATCAGCAGGCAACATGGCGTCTGAAGGAGGGAGGCCCTATGGGAAAGGGGTCCTGACATGTTGCGCCGTGTTTGGCCTGTCGGAGTCCTTCCCTGGCCCCAGGACCGTCAGGAAACGCCGTTCGAAGAAGAACATAATGCATAAGCATACTTAGACTTTAGAAGCTCCGCGCAGTTTTCTTGGATCGCCGCTGGGCCCCCCTCCCTGGCGCGCCTCTGGCGCCAGGGGTGGCGCTGGAGGCACCGCCGGGGGGTCCTAGTGCTGATCCAAGACTCCGCGCGGAGCTCCGCAAGTCTGCGTTTGTGCATTATGCAGGCTCAGGGTGCAGTTGTTCCAAGGGAAGGCTCTGACGATTTCCCGAGGACCCCTTCTCCTGAGGGCAGGGGCAGAGGCTGACACACATGTGTATATATATATATATATCTCCCTCTCTCTCTCTATATATATATATACGCACGGCTCCTGACCCTGGCCCTCTTGATTCCGAGGATGCCAGAGACCGCTTCTACTGTACTATCCGCAGGGCTACACAGGCCCTGGTAGACCACTCCCGAGCGCCCTTCTAGTCTTAGCCGGACGCCCTGACCTCGATGTCCAAGGTACGAGTGACATACACAAACATACATATGTACGCATACATCGGTGTGCTCGTCATATACGTGATGTATATAAAAGTAGATGTGTCTGTGTGTATATATGTATGGATGTGTGTGTGAGTGTGTATGTGTGCACGCACGCATGCATGTATGTATACATGTATGAACGCCTGTATGCATGTATGGTTGCGTGCATGCATGCATGCATGCATGCATGCATGTATGTATGTATGTTTGTATGTATGCATGCATGTATGTGTGTATGTATGTATGTATGTATGTATGTATGTATGTATGTATGTATGTACGCATGTAATCATGCATGCACGTATGCATGTATGTATGCAAGCATTGATGCATGTATGCATGTCTGCAAACATGCATGTACGAATGTAAGCGAGTGAAGGTATGTGTGCATGCATTTATGTATGCAGGTATTTGTGTATGCATGTCTGTCTGTCTGTCTGTTCGTCCGTCTGTCCGTCTGTCTATATGCCTGTCCGTCTGTCTGTCGGGCTGTCTGCCCGTAGATTGTCATGTATGCATGTGTGTATGTATGTATGTGTGTATGTATGTATCTGTGTGTGCACGTATGTGCGCATGCATGTCGGGATACGTGCGTGTATGTACGTATGTAGGTGTGTCCATGCACGTAGTCGTTTGTGTGTGTATGTAGGGATGTGTATCTATATATATATATATATATATATATATATATGCATATGTATATGTATGCATGTTTGAATGTAGTATGAATGTGTGTGTATGTGTATGTGAATGTGTATGTATGCGGGTGCGTACGTATGCGTGTAATGTACTGGAATGAATTGTAGCGTAACGTAGTGTAATGCGTTGTGATGGAATGCTTTGTACTGTAATTCAGTGTATTGTGATGCAGTGTGACATGACGTAATGAATTTTAACGTATGTAAGTATGAATGCATTCATGTATGTATATGTGTATGCATGTGTATATGTATGTATGTGAACATGTGTTCATATTTGTCTGTATGTACGTGCGTATGTATGTAGGTGGGCAGGCAGGTATGTATGTATGCACAGCCCGGCTCCGCCCGATTGCAATAACCTCGGCGCTGCGAGCCCTCCATTACGTTGTGACAGCTCTGGGGCCTGGCGAGGGCCCCGGGGGCCGAAAACGGCGATAAGCACGAGCATTGATGTATTCAGCTCGTTGGAGATATGTGGGACGGGGCGGGGGGGGAAACCCTGGCGCTTCGCCCGTGAGAGAGAGAGAGAGAGAGAGACGACGACGACGAGAGTGACAGAGAAAGGGGGTCTTGCCCGCTGAGGGCCCCAAGGTGTGGCCGCGCTCCACGCCCCCCCGGGCGACGCGAGGGACGGCAGAGGCAGGGTCATCGCCGCGAACAGAAAAAAAACCTAAGCCGAATAACACGATGAAGACGTGGCCTCACTTATGTCCCCGTCCTCGCACTAGGATTATAGATCTGGGCGGTTTGGCCTGATTCATCTGCAGAAACGGCCCCCCACCCCTAGCGTTCCTGGCCCTCCTGACTCAGGTCGCCTCCCCAAGGGCTAGGGGCCCTTT